TTTTTTTTGAGACAGGGTCTCACTCTGTTACCCAGCCTAGAATGCAGTGGCACAGTCATGGCTCACACTGTAACCTTAAACTCTTGGGCTCAAGCAATCCTCCCACTTCAGCCTCCTAAGAAGCACAGGACAAATGTCCAAGCCTCCTGGCATGACATTTGGCCCTTCTTGGGATGGTCTTGGCCAGCCCCTAGAGCTCTGTAACCTGACATGTCACATGGCTCACCCTCCTCAAACATGCTTGAGGCTTTCTAGCTCACACAACTTTACTCTTGTGATCCCCCACTAGAATACCTGCCCACCCTGTCTTTGTATCTTCAGACAGGTGGCTTTTCCAAGTAATCTCACCCTTCTCAGAAAGAATCTGTGCATCTGCTGTATGACTAAGGCCCAAGTTAGCTCTGATCCATTCCCCTCCCATATCAGTGGTGATGGGAGAGAAAGCCTGTTGTATGCCTGCAAAGGTCCAACAAAATTGGGGGCCAGAATCATGGAGTTCCTTCTTTCCCATCTGTGATAAAGCCTGGCAAGACAGAAGCAATGAGGATGCTGTCGGATTGAAATCCACATTCTGTTCCAGAGAAAAATGGGATCTGATGGTTAAACTCTCCTGATGTACATATTTTACTACCTTCTCCAGTGACATAAAATTCTGCCTTGTAGGTAAACTAAGTGCTTTTTACCAGGTAACTCTCCAAGGCTGCCTACCCACAATGGATAGTGGAAGTCATTAATGGGCAAAGTTTGTTCAACAGACTTTTCTTTAGTTTTTTAATCTTTTTTGCCAAGGGAGTAAAATAGTCAGGCTTCATCCCTCAGTCCAGGTGGCCATTCCATGAGTAGCCAATGTTGTCTACTGTCTGCATGGATGGTGCCTGTGCCATCCCATTTCGTTGCAGGAGACAGCTGCTGGTTAGACTGAGCCCTCTCTTGGTGGCAGATGTCCTAGCCTGGCCTTGGAGCAGATGATGGGGGCCAGCATCAGCTCTCCGAACATGTCATCAGAATTTGGGACTCCTGGGAACTGTGCCCTAATTTTGATTTTCTGAGCATGACGAGTCTTGGGTTCTTGATTAGGGTCTGCAACAGGAGCCACCTTGTTCTGGACCTAGCTGAGACACGGGGACCTAGGATAGAATCAGAGCAGACAGACTGAAGAAAGGAGGGGGTCTCAGGGAGGGGAACTCCCTCTCCAAAGCATTTGAAAGAGCTGCCTGGAATGTGTAAGATGTGGTAGAAGGAGCTAGACTGGGACTCCTGGGGACATGAGGGAGGTCGGAGAGATGTAAGTTGTCCCTCAGAATTGAGTATCTACAGTGTTGGAAATAGCAATGAACATTATTAATCTGAGCCCTAGAGAGTCTGAGCCCTAGAGGGGTAGAGAGCCTCAGGGATCTTGTGGTAAGCAACAGGGCAGAATCATCAAAATGTAGCCTCATCTTGGAGTGCATCTGCCATGTAGCCTGGGATAAGGGTTGGAGACTCAAACAAATGGAGAACTCCACTAGCAGAACTAGAGTTCACTTCCAGGAACAAGGCAGGAGGCCAGTTAACAGGACAAGGACACAAGGCCTGAGTGGGTCCCATAGTCAGGTTGACTGGGAGCTAAGCCTCCTGGGCTTCCTAGTTCAAAGAGAGCCTGGAATTTGGAGAAAAGGAGCAGGAACAGTGGACCGTGGGGCACCTCAGGGATCCCAGGGAGTCTGAGGGTATTTACTTCCTGTTGTCTGAATCCAGCGTAGGTCCAAACAGGAGCCGTTACCTGCCGACTGATTTAGGCACCAGTATTTGGTGGTCTGCTGCAGCTTCCTCTCCCTATGATCTGTGATCAGAATGTGGCAAAAGCTGACGAGCACAGGGTTGGTGTGGTAATGGTCCACGTAGAGCATGCCGATCCATGCACTGAACCCTGAAATCCAGAGGCAGGTCAGGCCAGGCAGTACCTCCTGACGTGGCCTGATTTGTGCTTTTCATGATATAACTGCAGAGCCAGTTTGTTCTCCAATGGTGTCTGAGTCTTTTCTGAGAATCTAGAAAATGAGGTATAAAGATCTGCAGTACTCTTATTCTAATAAGAGTATCATATTCTAATATGCCCATTTTATGGGGAGCTCAAAGCTCAAAGGGTTAGGAGCTGCTGTGGCTAATTCCAAGCAAGCATCAGTACATTTATTGAATAGATGAGTGAATGAATGACTCTGGGCTCAGAATAGAACAAAAACTACTTTTGCTTCCCCAGAAATGGCTTTGAATTTGGAGCATTTCAACTGAACAGAACATCTTCTGCACTGTTTCCTACTAACAACACTAATAATTCTGAGATGTGTTCTTTCTAAAAATTTTCAGAGCTGTGCATTCATAAATTAGCTTCTAAGTGTTCAGATAGAATGTGACTACCTTTGACTCCTCTTCCTTTATACCTCAAAGGTCTGCCAAATGGGCAGGAATTTAATAGCCTTGAACTCCCTTTTGACCAGCAGGCTGCATGTGTCTTTATTACTCAGCCTTAAAGCTTCCGCTGAAAGATAAACTCTGAGCATAAATAAAAGGCATGAACTCCAGGCTTCTGATACTTGTCTTCACAGGCAATTGCCACAAAGGTGAAAGACCAGCCCTCTCCAGAGGATGTGGCCGGGTGGGTGCTGATCACTTACCCATGTCTGCTCCCTCATAGCCACTCTGCATGATGGTCCTGTCAATGCGGGCAATCAGCCACATGCCCAGGAAGCAACTGATGAGCAGCCTGGAGAGGCAGGCACCCAGGCCCAGCAGCACATTGTAGAAAAACAGGAAGTAGCTGAAGTTGTGGAATGCTTTCCTACAAACAGAAGCCGGCCCAAGGCACCACATTTCAATAGAGCAAGGTTGCTGGGCTGAGGGACTCTGGAGTCTCCCAGACCCAGGATCAGATCCTGCAGGTCCAGGCTCAAAGCTTTGTGACCTCGTGCCATCAACGGGAGCTGACTGCCCTCACCTCACAGCACTGGTATGAGTAGTGGCTCAGGTAGTGGTGGGGGCCACTAAGTTCAGTGAAGGACAAATGTCAGTGGGGACAGCCATTGTTTCATGCAATCCTTGGGGTCTGAGGCTTCCTCCATGGTAAGAAATTGCATAGGGCTGCAGCTGGGTCAGTGATTATGGCAGAAGTGGGGCTTCTCCATGTCTGTTGCACCAGGGACCTATTCCCAGCTGCAGCTGTTCCAACATCTTCCAAAGGAAATTTCCCAAATGACCACCTGATCATGTGGTTTCCTGTTGCCTCTAGAATAAAGCCCAAACTTTGTATCCTGAGTTTCAGCCCCCTCACTGCCCCCAGAGGTCTTCTGGTCTTGTTTCTTTGTGTCCCCTTCCTGTCACTCATTAAGGCCATTGCATGGCAACCATTTAGGATTCTTACTCTTCTCCTAACACATCCTGCTGTTTTGTGGCTTCCCGCCTTTGTCCTTGTGGTGTTGGCTGCTGGCCATATCCTCTCCTCTTCTCTGCCTGTAGAAATCCTACTGTCCTGCTGACCTCATCTCCAGAGTCCCATCTGCAGTGGCGTTAACCACCCCTGCCTCTCCTCCGGTTTGTCTTGTATTCCTTTGCACTCCCTGGTGTCCTCTGTTCTTGTTTATGTGCCTGTTGTCTGTTCCAGTGGACTGAGCTTCTCACAGGCAGATTGTGTTGGGATTATCTCTTTACCCTCATGCCCATGTTATTCCCCCAATGAATGGACAGCTTTGAATGAACGAATTAGAAAGGATTTCCATGTGCCGAGCACTATTGTTCTAAGTTCATATTTTAACACATTTCATCCTTACAACGCCTCTTTGAGATATACACAATTATTTGTAAATGGGGAAACTGAGGTTCATAGTAAGCTCCCACATGTGACATGGCTCCTAAGGGGTAGAGCCAGGATCTGGACCCCAGCAGTCTAGCTCCAGAGCCCACCACTGACCCACCGTACCTGGCCTTCGCAGAGAGTATAGGGCCTGCACAAGAACCTGCCATGGGGGACAGGGAGGGACTCAGAGGCAAAGGCCCACAATTCCCTCATTCCCTCCTTCACCATCACCTGTTGTTGAGAGCCAGGGGCTTCTGCTTGTCAGCTGCGCCCAGCTTTGGCTGTAGGAAGAAGCTGGTGGCGATCCACATCTGCAGGATCATGAGACCCACAACAATGGATATGGTGAGGCTGAAACAGAGTGGGGCCATCCTGAGGTGGTCTTTTCCCCTCTGCCAGGCCCTTCTCTGATGCCCAGTGAGAGAGAGGAGAGAGGCTGACCACCTGGCAGAACAGTTGTAATGTGAGCCCCGTGCTTTATGCTTACAAAGGATTCCCATGCTCACTGTGCACAGGAGAAAAACGAGGCTCACAAAGGGGAGGTGACCTTCCCAAGACCACACGTCGGGTCTTGTGGCTCCGGATCACAGGCCATTACTCCAAGATTTCACTGATGTCCCTTTCTCCAAGGGTGGCAACTGGGTGAGCGGTTTAACAGGTTGGGAACTAAAGAATGGAATGGGGTTTTTGGAAGTTCCTGAGAAGACCACAAAAGAGTGGACAGGACAGGCTCTGCTCCCAACTCACAGGTGGCTTGAGGCAAGTATGGAATCAAGAAACTTAGAGCAGGGAGGGTCCCCAGAGAGCACTGTGTGCCGTGTTGACATCCCCTGAGTGGCAATGAGAGATAGTGGCTAAAAGGAGGCATTGGTTTCAGATTGCCCAGCTCCCAATCCTGAGTCTTGCCCCTGCTTGGAGGAAATGCTTAGTCTCTCTGTGCCTCTGTTCCCTGCTCTGCAAAATGGAAGGTAACATAAGTACCAAATTCATATATAGGCTTTCTGAGAAAAGGTGCATACTAAATGCTCAATGAAGCCAACATTCACTTTGTCTTCCAGATGTATAAACTGAGGCCCAGAGAAGTGGATTAACTTACCCCAGGTCACACAGCAGATCCAAAAGCTTTGCCAGGATTCCCTGCCTCCTTCCATCATACTGCCTTGCCTCCCGTTTTACCTTCCTAAACCTCAATTTTCCCAGCTGGAAAATGGACATACATGTATCCCACACATACACATGGTTGTGAGGGCATAACGGAATGGTGTGAAACGCAGCCTTTTGTGAACGCTGTTTCCCCTCCCCGTGAGTTGCTATGACGGCCCATCTTAAGGTCAGGGCAAAGACCATGTGCCCACACAGCAGCTCGAACTGCACCCCAGCTCTCAGAACATGGCAATGACAGGACGCCCGCCCAGCACTTACATCCCGATGCCCAGCCCTCGCAGCATCTCCAGGCCCTGTTTGTGGACGATGGGCAGCACCAGGCCGTACATGATTGCCATGCCACATAGGCTCTGCACCACGTGAATGATGAGGTAGCCTGGGAGCGAAGGGGAGATGCTGGTAACTCAAGGTCCTTCGTGAGCCACTCCCACACCCCTTCCTGCAGGCCACCCTCTAGCCTCCTCCCACCAGACACCCTGGCACGCTTATCTGTTTCTTCTGCCTGGCAAGGCCTCACCTTCCTTCCCGTTCACTTCCTACTCCACCTGTCAGGTGCAGTTCAAGTGTTAACTCCCCTAGAAGGCATCTGAAACCTGCCCTGGGGCTGGATAGTCACAGTCTCCTCTGGGTCACCACCACCCTTAGCATACACACTCCCTGGGTTCAGGACTGTGGTGAGGAAGACCTTGAGACTATGTTTCACCTTCTGTCTTGACAGTCCCTCAATGGCAGAGGCTAGGGCTGCTTCTGACCACCTCTCTCCTCCCCACTCATAGCCAGGACTCGCCAGGTGATGAGGGGATGTGTGATTAATTAAATGGGTCACCTAATGGCACTTACCCCATAGAATATAGGCTATTTGCCAGCCAGAGTACCTTGCAATGGCCACCTGAGGTTTAAAAGGAAAAAGGGGTCTCAGAGCAGGAGGAAAACTTCATAACCTCTGCCACATGTGCCCAACATCCCTTTCTCATTGGAAGTTCACCCACAAACCCAGTGAGGTGGGTGCCATGCTCATCCTCAGGTTTTAGCATAGGGCTTAGTCTAGATCAGAGAGAGACCTTGACAGACTCACCACGCTCTCCGATGAGGCCGGGTTATGGAACTTCAAAGGCAGAAAGTGTTTATCTCCTGCCCAGAGCCTCTTTATGTGCTTTCTGGAAAAGACATGGGACATCAAGTAGTGCCCATAACTGATAGTTCTTTGTGAGTGATTAGAGTCACAAAGATATCATAGGAAGGCCTGCAAGGCTGATGGTGGGCAGCCTAGCCTCCCTGTGCCGACTGCAGCTCACCGAGGATCTCCAAGTTGCCTTAAAAGTCTTGAACTTTAGTACAGATTACATCTTGTAAAAATAATATGCATTTATTGAGTCATAATAGTGACTGAATCTGATAGATGAGATTATGTGTGGCCAGCTGGCCTGCCTGCCTGCCTGCCTGCCTTCCTTCCTTCCCTCCCTCCCTCCTTCCTTCCTTTCTTTTTTTCTTTCTTTCCTTCCTTCCTTCTTTCTTTCCTATTTTTGCAGTTGAGAAAGCTAAAAATCAACAAAATTAAATAACTTGACCAAGCAATTAGCAGATGATCAAGTCTTTCTGGCCCCAGAGACTTTCTTTCTTTCTCTTTCCCTTCCTTCCTTCCTTCCCCTCCCTCTCTCTCTTTCTTTCCCTCAATCTCTTTCCCTCCCTCTCTCTCTCCCTCCTTTCTTCTTCCCTTCCTGCCTTCTCCCTTCTCTCTCTCTCTCTCTCTCTCTCTCTCTCTCTCTCTTTCCTTCCCATCTCAGCTCACTGCAACCTCTGCCTCGAAGGTTCTGGCAATCCTCCCACTTCAGCATCCCAAGTAGTTGGGACTATAGGCACATGCCACCATGCCCAGCTAATTATTTTATTTTATTTTATTTTATTTTTGTAGAAACAGGGTCTCACTATATTGCCCAGGCTGGTCTCAAATTCCTAGACTCAAGCCATCCTCCTGCCTAGGCCTCCCAATGTGCTAGAATTACAGGTGTGGCCACTGGAGCTGGCCTATTTTTCTTTCTATATTTTCTAATTTTTCTATGATGTCATATATATTCCTGGTGAAAGATGCACAAATGATTCTGAAAGTGATCTTACCTGTAACAGACCAAAATGTGGAAGAGATAGCTCACACACGTGAGCGAGGCAGGCAAAATGGTTGCCACCCAGACTCCTGAAATATGAAAAGTGATATGAGAAGCCTCGAAAAATTAACATGAAACAGAATTTTCAAAATGCAGAATACTGCACCACAAAGTACTAAGCAAATGAAGTAGACTTTAACACATTTCTTGTGTTAGTAAACTTTTGCTCATTTTCTGTTTTATTTTAGCTGCATAAACCCTTAGTATATTTCCTGCATAATCTTCTCATTTTGTGCTATTTTCACTCTACAGTGAATAAAGGAAGAAAAATTATGGAGTATTTTCCATACATCATAAATAGCCTCTGATGGACAGAGGCTATTTTCATGGGAAAAACATATTTGACCTCTAATTGCCACTTTTTGGGAGGAGTGTTGGTTATACCTCAACTGGGTACAAAGGTAACTGGGGTCAAGATGTCTTGACTATTTACTCATCCACCCTTCAGCAAGTTTTGATATTGAGAATCTAATGTGCTTTTACAGAGATTGTGTGAGTTCATGAGAGAGGGATGTAGAAACAGGGAAGGAAGATGATTTGTTGTTTTAAAAACTTCTGTAGAGCTGATTATCAATAGGTACAGAAAAAGCATTTGACAAAATCCAGCATCTCTTTACAATTAAAAACATTCAACATCTGGTGTTCTGTTGCACAGTACAGTAGCTATAGTTAACAATAATGTGTTGTATATTTCAAAATAACTAGAAGACAGGATTTTGAATGTTCTCGCCACAAATAAATGATAAGTGTTTAAGCGGATGGGTCTACTACTTTAATCATTGGTCAATGTATATACGTATTTAAACATCACATTGTATCTAATAAGTATGTACAGTGTTTATGTGTCAATTCAAAATAAAACAAAACGACACTACTCAACATATTAGGAATACAAAATGACTTCCTTAGCCTGATAAAGAGCACCTGCTAAAAACCCACAGTTAACATCACACTTGATGGTAAAAGACTGAATGCTTTCCCCCTAACCTCAAAACACCTTATCTACTCTCATCAATTCTAGTCAACATTGTACTAAAGGTTTGGGCCAATGCAATTAGGCAAGAAAAAGAAAATAAAATGCATCCAGATTGGAAAGGAAAAAATAAAACTTTCTATGATCTCATATATAGAAAAACCAGGAAATACACAAAAAACTATTAGAACTAATAAATTAGTACAGCAAGGTTTACAGGACATCAGAGAAATATATAAAAGTCAATTGTATTTCTATAAACAAGCAATAAACAATCTGAAAATGAAATAAGAAAATGATTACATTTACAATAGTACCAAAAAAATAAAATAATAAATTTAGCAAAGGAATGTACTACTTGTACACTGAAAATCACAAAAGATTTTGAAAAAAATTAAAGAAGACCTAAATTACAGGAAAGACTTCCCATGTTCACATATAGGATATTCATTGTTAACACAGCAATACTACCCAAATGGATCTATAGATTCAACTCAATTCCTATCAGAATTCCAGTTCCATCTTAGCATTAATTGACAAGCTAATGCTAATATTCATATAAAAATGAAGGGACCTAGAATAGGCAATAAAATCCTGAAAAAGAGAAAGAAAATTACAGGACTTACTGTTCCTAATTTCAAACTTACTACAAAGCTATAGCAATGAAGGCACTGTTATACAGACATAAGAACACAAAAATAGATCAACGGAATAGAATTGAGAATCCAAATTAAGCCTTCATACTTATGGTCAATTTATTATCAACACAGATAACAAGACAATTCAATGGAGAAAAATGTGTTTTTTGAAAAATTGTGCTGGAACAACTTGATATTCACATGTAAAACAATGAATTTAGACTCCTACCTCACACCATACATAAAAATGAGCTCAAAATGGATCAAGGGCCTAAATATAAGAGCTAAAACTTAAAAAGTCTTAGAAGAAAATATGAGAAAAATCCTTGTGACCTTGGGTTAGGCAATGGTTTCTTAGATAAGACAACAAAAGCACAAGTGATATAAGAAAAAAGCAGATATATTTGGCTTCATCAAAATTGGAAACATTTGTGTTTCAAAAGACAGCATCAAAAAAAGTGAAAAAGCAATCTGAAAAGTAGAAAATATTTTCAAATCATATATTTCATAAGGGATTTGTAAAATATTTTCAAATCATGTATTTCATAGGGGATTTGTATACAAAATATGTAAGCACACTTACAGCTCAATAAATAAACGGGCAAATAATATAATTTTTAAATGATCAAAGAATCTGAATAGATATTTCTCAAAATAATATATACAAATGGCCAGTACATATAAAGATACTAAACATTATTAGCCACTAAAGAAATGAAAATAAAAACAACAGTGAAATTCCACTGCATCTCCACTAGATGGCTATAAAAAGATGGATAATAATAAGTGCTGGTGAGGATGCAGAGAAATTGGAATTCCCACAATCCTGGTTCGAATAAACAGTGATGCAGCTACTTTTGAAAGCAGTCTAGTAGTTCAACAAAAGGTTAAAGATAGAGTTGTCATATGTTTAACCATCTGTTCCACTCCTAGATATATACCCAAAATATATAAAAATATATATGAAAAACTTGTATATCCATAGATATATCACTGGAATATGTCATTTCCATTTTAAGACAAAGTGCCTTTCTTATTGTCTAGGGCAAAGGACCTGAATAGACATTTCTCAAAAGAAGACATACCAATGGCCAACTAGCATATAAAAAAAAATGTTCATCATCACTAATTATCAGCGAAATACAAATCAAAACCACAATGAAATATCACCTTATACTTGTGAGAATGGCTATTATAAAGAAGACAAGAGATAAGTGTTGGCAAGGATGTGGAGAAAAAGGAACTCTAGTATACTGTTAATGTGGCTGTAAATTAGTACAACTTTTCCTCAAAAAAGTAAAAAAGCAATTACCATATGATCCACCAATCTCACTACTTGGTACATATCCAGAGGAAATGAAATCAGTATATTGAAGAGATATCTGCACTCATATTTTCAGTGCAGCACTGTTCACAATAGCCAACATATGGAATCAACCTAAGTGTCCAACAACAGATGAATGAATAGAGAAAATACGTCATACATTGTATACGATGGAATACTACCAAGCCTTTAAAAAGAAGGAATCCTGCCATATGTGACAACATGGATGAACCTGGAGAACCCTACATTAAGTGAAATAAGCCAGGCACAGAAAGACAAATACTGCATGATCTCACTTATATGTGGAATCTAAAAGAGGTGAACTCATGAAAGCAGAGTAGAATGGTGGTTACCAGGGGCAGGCAGGGGTGTGAGAGGTGTAATTGGGGAGATGGGGGTCAAAGGATACATAATTTCAGTTAGACAAGAGACTAAGTTAAAAAGATCTATTTTTAAGTGACTTTCAAGTAAAATTTGAAAGACATAAATGAACATTTCATAAAGAAAGACCAAGGCTTGGTGCTTCATTTTTTCAAAATAGAAAATATAGAATCATTTTAGTATTTTCCATTGGAATTGAGGCAAAATGGGCAACTTAAGATAAGAAAATTTTCAGGGCATGTTCATTTCAGGTCCAGCTTCATTAAAGAAATGGCTGTGTCTTGACCCCTTTGTCTTTCTAGTCAACCCAGGAAGGTAAACCAGCTCTAACACATTTTTCTCCAAGTGTGGTCATCTCAGCCAGGTATATCAATACTAGCAGCCACAAATACTATATATGTGCACCTGCCATCAGTTACAAGCCCCTCACTCAGTTTCCCACACAGGTGTGGGAACAGGTGGCTTATGATTTTACCTTCGGTAACGCTGATGAGCTGTTTCACCTGCAGGATGCCTGGGGTCAGGATCCCTGAATGGTTCATGGAGTTGATGTAGCTCTCCAGCTTGTTTTCAAACATGTCCAGCTCATCTCTCACATACACAAACATGCAGAACTCGATGACAATGAACTGGGGACAGAGAGCAAAGTTTCCAGGTCTTACTTTAGTCCATCTCATCATGGGAATAACACGTGGATTTTTCTTTGAGGTTGAGGCCAGGGTCTTCCAGGGATTCAAAACTCTTCCGAAAATGATTCTAGACCCTGGCTATTCTAAGATGAATGGCATTTTGAGTTCTTGGGAGACAGGAATCACTTCATGATCTGTTCTTTACCCTCCAGAAAACAAGACAAGGGCCCATAAGGGCTCAAGAAACTCTACAAACATTCATAGAACCAGTAGAAAAGAATGACTAACTTTGAATAAGGGGTGATCTGGGGGACAATTCTATCCCTATCTCCCACTGATTCCCTTCACTGATCTTGGCACACTGGAGAAAGTACTGTTTCCTGTACAAATGTCATGGTTGCCCAATATCTTAGCATCCTGTTGTTATGCCACTGCCTCTATAGTTCCTGCTGTCATTTCACTCCAACAACCCAATTGTGTTTATTTCTGAAAGTGGAGCTCATACACTATCGTGTTCAAGCAGCTGCTAGATCTTGAATGATTTGCTAAACTTCTAGAGCATTTCACCTTATCCTTTTTTACTCTTAAGATCGCAGGTACCTCATACCATGTCTTATCTCCTTCTTATAGACCACGAGGTTCTCCTAGCCCAGGACTGAGCTGAATCAGCTCTTTGCCCTCTTCCAACTCTTAGCACAGTGCTGGCACAGAGTAGATATTCCATAAATATTTAAGAAACAATGTCATTCCAAATGTGTTATTCATTGTTGCAGAGAACTTGAAAGTTATTGCTGTCCCTTAAAATCCATTCTCCCTTCTTTGGGCATGGAGCTAGACTACATTGCCCGGTCTCCCTTATATTGGGTATGTCCACATGACTAAGTTCTTGCCAATGGAAGAGTGGAAGGAATATGTGATACTTCTACAACTAGTCCATGGAAACCCTTCACATACATCTCTCCTTGCTTTGCCCCCTTCTTGACTATGTGCAGATGGTGATGAGGTTCTCCAGGATGGTGAAGGCACATGACGGAAGAATTCTGGGTTCCTGAATGAGTACATCTTCCCCTACCTGAACACCCAACTCATCACTGTTGTGTAGATAAAAAATATATACTGTTAAGCCACAGGAATTTAGGAGGTTATCTGGTACGTCAGCATAACCTAACAAATACACTCACCTAAAAACTTAATCACAGGATTTACTTAAATAGGTATTTTCCTGGTACATTTAAAAGAAACAGAAGACAATTTAGCCTTGCCATTTTCATGCATCCATTTTGACTCTACTTTTAACTCAGCCATTTTATCTCAGATAACTTTGACCACACAAAATGTTTTGATCCTATGCTTAATAAAACGTTGAAGTCAGAATTATGCCAGTACTTAAAATTTCTTATTGAGAAAGCAAACTTAAAAAAGAATGTTTAATCTGCTTAAAAATATAGTACAGTAAACCAACTCTAGTTATCTGCTTTTATTTTTAGTTCAATGAAAATAAATTCAATTATTAATTTATAATAAATTCAACAATTTTAAATTTGATTATTGAAAAATAATTGAAATTATTTTTGTCAGAATCAATTATTTTACATTTAAGTGATTTGATTTTTGCTCACAGAAGAATTTATTAATCACAGATTCTACTATTGTGAGTTTTCTTTAGGGATCATTAGTTCTACCAAGTAAACTTTCCTGGGTCAAATTTTGCATATCAAAACGTTCTTAAATATATATTTTTGTCATCAGGTTTTAGTTGATACTAAATTTCACCATGTGGCACTTTAATCATCATGAGTTTTACTTTTTGTGGATTATTTTTACTGGTCATATTCACCATGTGGGTAAAAGTGTCCTTGGAATCAAAATAGTGTTATTGAAGCACTGTACTTCTTTGATTTACCAAGATTCAATTTTGACCCAACTCTTTAGGAACATGCTGCTTGCCTCAAAGACTCCATAACCCTAGCCCCAACCCTGCCCCATTCATAAAATATAAAGAGCTTTTCTTAGTGCTACTTACAAGGTACAGGCAGATGAAAGCCAATACAATGGTTCCAATCATTCTGCTTGGGAATTGAAAGCAGGGATCCCACTCGTATATCCTGGTTTGGAACCAAGACTTTTTTTCTTCTCTGTGGATGAGATATAAATATCAAAAGATGAGAGGTTGGTAGGAAAACAAATGTCTGATTCATCTTAAAATAGCCCCACCTTCTTTTTATCTTAGAGTATATTGTAAAAAGAGATCACTGTTAGCTTCCATGGTTTTCATTTTCCCCTTATTCTTAAGGACAAAAACTGGATTTTATTTTGTGCAGAAATTCACCAAACTAAAAGTTTAAAGTTCCCAACCTGTCTTGCAGCTTAGAGTGACCAGACTAAATCCGGGCCAACAAAATGTGGCCACAAGTGTGGTGTGGGGCTTTGGAGAGAACACTCAGATGGAACTAACACAGCTGGGAAAGCTTCTTTGCCTTGCCTTGCCTGCTGTCTGAAATGCAGATGTGGTGGGTGGTCCAAGCTGGAGCTCCAGCAGCCACATTGGACCATGAGACAGCATTGAGGATGGAAAGCACATACATGATGCTAGAGCATAAACACAGGTGATTGGTGAACTGTCATGGTAGGCAGTACAGGGTCAGGATAGATTGCTCACCTTTAGAGTTATTTTATTAGAGAAAGTAATAAATCTCTCTCTTGGTTGTGCCACTATTATTTTGTGTTTTCTACTACATGTAGCCAAACTGAATTCTAACCAAAGTACTAGCTTTGCCACTGCATGACCATGGACCAGACACATCCCTTCTCTGGGGCATATGCCCACATGCGTAGTGAAAAGGGCAGATGTGGTGGTGGCTTGTATGATTCCGAGATCTGGTGCTTTTGCCTGGCAACATGAATATCCTCCTCTACTGGAAACAGCACCTCAGTTTTGTTTTGTTTCATTGTTTTTTTGATACAGGGTCTTGCTCTGTTGCCCGGGCTGGAGTAATGTGGTCACTGCTGAGTGCAGTAGCGTGGTCACCACTTACTGCGGCCTTGACCTCCTGACTCAAGTGATCCTCCCACTTCAGTCTCCCAAGTAACTGGGACCACAGACGTGCACCACACCTGGCTAAATAGTTCATTTTTTGTAGAGATGGGGTCTCGCCATGCTGGCCAGGCTGGTCTTGAACTCCTGAGCTCAAGCGATCCTCCTGCCTAAGCCTCCCAAAAGTACTGGGATTACAGGCATGAGCCGCCACGCCCAGCCTAACGCCTCAGTTTCTATTTGGGGAACCACCACTCCCTGTCCCTGGGTAAGATGCTGATCCCACTTCCTAGCTCTGGAGGAAACGGAGGGACATGTGACTCAGGCTTAGCCGATCAGTGCACTCCAATCCCTGCCACAGTAACTGGTTCCAGGGAGGTGTGTGATCCAATTTGATCCAGTGAAACACGTTCGTGGGACTTTCATTTGAATAACTGGAAAGCAGCATTTGTCTGTCTTCTGGGATTAAACCAGGAGTGTATAAACATAGAGAGTCTGGGCGCCACCATGTGGAGGAATCCCACTTAAATAGGAGGCCGACACAGTAAAGCAGAGCTGAGGGGAGATGGAGGGCGAGAGACCTGGATTTGATCATATCAGTTAAGCCTGTGGATCCAGCTTGCCTGAAACTGACTACCTCTAGACTTTTTAGTGATGGGAGCCCATAAGTTTCCTTTTTTACTTCAATCCAGTTTGAGTTGGGTATCTGTTTTTAGCAAATGAGGGTCTTGATCACTACAGTGCCTTTCTGATCATCCCAGGCTCTGTCACATCATCAGGGCTCATCAGAGTGGATGCAAACCTGCAGGTGAATGAACAGAACTGTGGCTTACTGTGGGCGGGGTGTCCTCAGGAGCTGCTTGACGTGCTCTGCCTGGTGCGCTTCCAGGACAGGCTTTTCTTCCTACGAGACAGCAGACAGGCTTACACTTTGGCTCATAAATTCTTGTTAGGCTTTTGATCTCATTAAGTGGGGGCAATGGTCACAGAGGGCAGGATTTTGGATAGGAGTTGCTCTTTTGGATTTAGCCATGCTGTGGTCAAGATAGGTTTTTTCCTCTCCCCCACATCCCACTGCTGAATTTGCTTCATGTCAAAGAGGCTATGTTTGCCAGTGGTTAAGGGAGAGGCTCCATAACTGAACTGTCTGGGTTCCATTCCTGGATATGTTACAGGTTAGCTATGTGAAAGGAAAATATCTTGGGCCCCCCAAATCACTAAGCTAAAGAGAAAAGTCAAGCTGGGAACTGCTTAGGGCAAGTCTGTCTTCCATGCTATTCAAAGTCACCCCTCTACTCACTGAGATAAATGCATATCTGATTGCCTCCTTTAGAGAGGCCAATCAGAACTCAAAAGAATATAATCATTTGTCTCATCTACCTATGCCCTGAAGCCCCTTCTAGCTGTCCCACCTTTTCAGACAGAACCAACGTTCATCTTACAACTGTCGATGGATGTCTCATGTCTCCCTAAAATGTATAAAACCAAACTGAGCTCTGACCACACGGGGCACATGTTGTCAGGACTTCATGAAGCTGTGTCATGGGTATGTGTCCTCAACTTTGGCAAAATAAACATTCTAAATTAACTGAGACCTGTCTCAGATTTTCATGGTTCCCAGCTAGGAACCTCAGACAACTCAACTCACCTCCGTGCATCCAAGCTTCTGAATTCAGAATGTGAGGTGTAGTAACAGTACTTGCCTCCCTGGCTGTTGTAGGGATGAAACCCATCAGTCCATGCAGTGCTCATACTTAGTACTCACCACCTGGAGCTCCCAGCCAAGGTGCACCCTCAGAGCCTTGACAAACATATACAGGAAGCGGCCCAGCAGGAAAGCGAGGCAGAGCAGTGAGGGCCAGTAGAACACAAGGGTCTCGTACTTCCCCACAAACTGCAACAGAAGCATACCACAATGCGGCTCCAAACAGGTGGGGCCGAGTCACCTGCTGAAGCTGCAGGACTCTTCCTGCCCCAGCTTGCTCCAGCAAGGCCCCCTCTCTCAGGCTTGGCAGTCAGTGGCCAATCCCCCATCTCCCAACCCCCGTCATCAGAATGGGCAGTGAACTTGGGCACAGCAACCCTGGATTCAAGTCTTGGCACCCCCATTTTAGCTAGCTTTCTAGTCTGGGTCACAGAGCAAGACCCTGTCTCAAAACGAAAGTAGTTTTCAAGGTATTTTGTCCTTATTAGAAGCTATTAATAAATGCTTCTTTGGGAAAATATACGAGGAAGAGAGCCAGAGGTGGGTAGATAGATGGGAGGAGGAGGTAAAGAGGGAGAGATACTTAGAGGGAGAAGGAGAAACAAAGACAGAGGAAGAAATAGAATGAGGGAGGTACAGAGGAAGAAAAAACCCATAATTGCCATAAGGCTGGGACCAACACAAGCTGAGGGAAGAGTAACAGTTCTCTCAAGAAGGTACTCATAGATTTTGTGTTTTTAGTTTTATTTTGATGAAAAAGATTGTTTTTCACTGTCTCAAAGCAAATAATATTGTGACTTATCTTTCACACTTTACTGGTTGGTTTCATGTTTTTTACATTTCCAGAGTCATATTACCTCCCACAGGAAATCGGGATTTGAGGTTGTGATGTTCAGGTGCAGGTGGAGATATGCTGAGATGCAGGGCTCATGTCTTCCCTTGATCCTCCTCTCCAACATATGCTTATGGCTAGATAATCACTGCCAGCATTTCTGTGGCTTTCATCTATATATCTATATGCTCTATAATTGAGGTTGTACCAAACATAAAGGTCTGTACCTATGCACTCCTGGCCCAGGTGGCTTTTGTGGGCTCCCCGCAACCTGCCTGGTAGCATTTCTAGGTGCACTGTTACATCCCTCTTTACTGGGGTCCAGGGCTAAAGAGATGAACCAGTTCCCACCAACTCTGAGGACAATGCATGGCAAAACTGGAAAGGGCTCATCTGTTCCAAGTCTTCCACTTTATAGAAAAAGAGATTGGAGCTACACAGAGTGAAAAGAAATTGACTTTGGAGTCAGCCAGACCTGGCCTCAATTCCCAATTCTGCTGCTTCCTATGAGTTACTTAATGTACTTGAGCCTCACTATACTAGTTCCTCACCTGTGAACTAGGTTTGATGAACTTCCCACCCTTGCAGGGCTGCTGAGAGGAGTAAATACGAAAATGCCTGTCTGTGAATGCACACCTTGATGAACATGGGTGCTATATAAATGGAAGCACTGTGAATGACAACAACTACCTTTTTACACACATGAGGAAGTGGAGCCCCAGAAGTGACAGAGGCTTGTTCAAGATCACACAGCAAGCTGACCACAGTGATAGGACTGAAAACCCCAAAAGGCCAACAGAGACTCACCTGCCCATGGGGACACTGTGAAACTTGAAGAACGGTGACAGCAAACCTGCAGGAACAGAAACAAGAGTTTGGGGCCCTGGAGTTCTCTCCCAGCACAGCTCCAGGAGCAGCCCCTGTAAAAATGGCTCGGATTGCACCCACCCGCACCTACCTGTCCCCCTCAGGAAGGCTGATTCCCAGGCCTCCATGGACATCTCTCCCTGATCAGCCATCCTGCTCATGCCAAAGTAGGTGCACACTAAATTCATTCATTCACCTGCCCTCATGGAGGACATAGTGTTGGAATCTGTGATGGCAGAGCAGGAGGCCCTTAGAGAGCTCATCCTCCCTCCTGTCATCATTCAAATGGGAGCTGGAAGTCCAGAGTTGGTAAGGGATTTATCCAAGTTACACATGGGAATGGGCAGACCCAGGTCTCCTGACTCTGTGGCCTGGGCTCTTCTTGCCTCTATGTGGCCTACTTGTAGACTCTGCTCAGAAGTGATGAGCCTTGATGCTTTACCCCATGCCCACCCACACATGCATTCCTGGTCCTGTTCCAGCTTGGGCCATACTCCCATGGTGCCCAAGCTGCTGAGCAATTCCCACCACCCTGTTATCTCCTGGGCAAACGTCTGTCACAGGCTGATGAGATGATATTACGCCACATCTAACCCTGGATACCTTCCATTTAAATTTTTAAAAAGGAAGCCACTCACAAACTTTACAATTGTAGCCACTGGCGTGTCAGTTGCTTGTGAGACCCCTGCCCGTCATCTCTGACTAAGTGGGGCCTAAGAATCCCAGCCCCATAGAAAATGCTGGATGGGGGAAAGAGCCCAGCAAAGGAGTTGGAAACAAAGAAATGAGTCTCAGAGGCTGGAGAGTAGAATTGTTGGAGGGGTTTTCAGTCAACAACTGTTCTCTGGTGTCAGTTCTGTGCCAAGTCTGGTGCCAGTTCTGTGCCAAGTCTGAGGTCACAGAGCTCAACATGAAGGTCAAGAAGCTTGCATCTGGTGGAAGTGATCGTCCTCGAAGCAGGAGTGTACACTTATCCCTAGACATGACCCACACAGGGAATGGGACAAACAGACAAAGAGGCCAGAACACCTGGTACACGCAAGTCTGTCTTGTTCGCCAGGGTTATTTCCTGTCTTGTAGTAGGGATGTAATGGTTGTTGAATGAATAAGTAGATGGATGAAGGAATGTAGGCGTCTTGCGTGGCTGGAGGTATGTGCCAGATACTGTTGGGGGAGGGAGGGAGAGGGAGAGGCTAAACTGTGATGGCCCTGAATGCCCAGCTAAGGCACGGGAACTTTCTCCAAGGCTCCCAAGAGAAGCCATGGCAGCTTTAATGAGAAGCCTCGAAAGGGGCTCCTTTGTCTTCCAGTGGGGTCCCCAGCAGCTTACAGAAATAAGTTTTCCTCAGGAATGGAAAATCAAATACTGTATTCTTACTTCTAAGTAGGAGCTAAGCTGTGGGTGTGCAAAGGCATACAGAATGGTATCACAGACTCTGGAGAGTCAGAAGGGGGAAGGGTGGGAGCATGGAGAAGGAGAAAAAGCTTCAGATCAGGCATAGTGTCCACTACTAGGCTGACGGATGCAAGAAAATCTCAGACTTCACTACGATACAATTCATCCCTATAATCCAAAACCACTTATACCCCAAAAGCTATTGAAATAGAAATAAATAAAATAAGATTATAATTCATTTAAAAAAAAAAAAAAGAAATGAGTTTTCCTAAATCCTTGACTTCTAGGAACACTCTAATCACAAGCAGCCTGGTGTGAAGCAGATAGAATGCCAGCCTGGCCTTCTGAAGCCTCCAATGCTGTCCCCACAATGGGACCGTGGATAGGTCACTCTTGCCCTCCCTGGGCCTCAGTTCTGGGCAAAGGTGTCCCCCAAGGAGAGCTCCCAGGTCGCCTCTAGCCCTGTACCCAGAGTTCAGTCATGCATAAGGAGTCGGGGGAGTGGGGACAGGCAGAGACCGTCTTACCAGATAAGAGAGTAGCAGAAGCCCAGGGTGGAGCTGACCAGCTGGAACTCCGACGAGAGGCAGGCAAAGAAGGGGAAGTGAGACAGGCCAACTTCAAGGCCTCCAATCAGAAGCTCAAAGGCTGGGGAGACAGGGCCAGAGATGCTGTGAGCTTCTCTTAACATTGGGTTTGGGGAGTCCCAAGGAAGTTGTGGTACCTCATGCTGACCTCTAGTCAAGGAGCTCAGAACCCAGTGAAAAGAATGGAATAGCCCCAGCCTAGGGCCAGCAGGAATGCCTTTCAATCGTTCATGCAACAGACCCTTCCTGGTCCCTATTCGATGCCAGGCACTGGGCTTCTATTGACATGAAGGAGACTTGGTCCTTGTACTTGGTGAGCTCACAGTGTGACAGATGGAGACACACTAGATAAACAGACAGGCAAATGAACATGCAAAAATAGTGGCTGAGGGTCAAGTATTGCAACTGCACCAGACTCAGAGAGAGGGGCTGTAGTATGTGCAAAGCTGCTTGTCAACTACAATGCACTGTACACATAAGGGAACAGCCATGTTAATCCTGCACTAACTAGCTCTGAGGTGGATTAACAGCACCCAGTATAATCTAATCATGCATGATGACCTTTTCAAAGTGTCTACTCTACTTGGGAGGCAGAGGTTGCAGTGAGCTGAGATCATGCCACTGCACTTCAGCCTGGGAGACAGTGCAAGACTCTATCTCAAAAACAAAACAAAAACAAAGTGTCTGCTCTGAGCTTGGTCTGGGGCCAGGCACTCAGGACAGGAGGAATGGACAAGGTTCTTGCTTTGAGATGCTGACCATCCAACAGGAAGGACAGGTGGGGAAGTCAGTGGCATGAAATGACTTGTAAGACAGGGACATTCAGCCTGCTGCGAGGACACAAAAGATGAGGCTACTGATCTCACTTGGGGTATCAGGGAAGGCTTCCTGGAGGCAACACAACATAAGCAGGAGATTGTATGATGGAGAGAAGTAGGGAAGGAAGGACATCAAAGGATGGGAGATAATTGGCTGGTCAGTACACGTGTGAATGTGAGTGGTGGAGGGCTGGCGGGAAAGATAAATACAAAAACAATAATTGCAGTGAGGATAGCAGTTGCAGCAGTAAAACATTCTAATCTCTCTGAATTCCTCCCATAGAAATAGAGCAGCTAGAAAGACAAAACTAAAGACTCACAGATAACATCTGCAACAAATCTAGGTGACAAGACCCATTTGATGTCAATGTCTGAGTAAGAGGAAGCAGAAGAAAGGCGAGAGGGGGTCTGAAGACCCAAGAGCTGATGAACTCAAAATTTCCAGCAGACACTAACTAGAAAATGCAGCTGAAGGCCACGATTCATAGGTGAGTACAAGCAGACCTTAATAGGATCTGAAGATGCTGGAGTTGTCTAAGCCCCAGGAAGTTACTATACTAATAATCTAAGGCCCTTCCCAGGACAAAGCCCCCTGCTGAGCATCAATTGCTGGCAGTAGAATCCAAAATGAGGAGTAGCTGGGAAATAATCTGTCTGGACAAGGGTGGAAAAGAGAGGCAGACTCAGAAAGTATGAGGAGATGGATGGATGGATGGAAAGGTGGATAGACAGGTAGACAGATAGGTAGATAGTGGAGAGATGATAGTAGATGGATGGATAATAGACAGTTATTAGGTAGATTATAGATAATAACAATGAGATAGGTTGATAGATAGATGAGACAGAGACATAGTCACATTGTAAAAACTAAAAAGGGAACTCTAGAGCCATAAAGCAAAAAATAATATCTGACCCATCCTACCTACTTGAATTTATAAGAAAACTTATTTCACTTAAAAATGGGCCACAGGTGTGTGTCTGTAGTCCCAGCTACTTGGGGCTGAGGCAGAAAAATCACTTGAACTTGGAAGGCAGAGGTTGCGGTGAGCTGAGATCATGCCACTGCACTCCAGCCTGGACAACAGAGTGAGATTCCATCTCAAGAAAAAAAAATTCAAAGTTATAAGAAAAAAAAAGAATAAGGAGCAGAAAAATATCACTACAGATCACAAAACTACTCCATAAAGAGGCCTGTAAGACAGATGGAAACAAAAATCTAATATTTCAATACAAGCTAAAAGAAATTAAGAAAATGATAGCATCTATGAAGAATCTATAAATCAGAATTTGAAAAACTAAAAAATGAAGTTGTTAAAAAAAAGGAAGATTTGATGACATGTTAGATAACTCAGGAAAAAATTAGAAATACAAGAAAAAAATCATTTTAGAAATGAAGGCCAAAGTAAAACAAACAGAAAATTGATATCCTGAATATACGAAGAACATCTGAAAATAAAGAACACACTATATTTACACTTCCACCTGAAACAAACAAAAATCAGACCAAATATATAAAACAACTGCTTTCAACACGCTTGACTTCAGGCAGCAGAGGACAATAATCACTGAAGGACAGTAAACAAACAAGGTGAGCCCCACAATTTCCCTACCTTAATGTAGAATGCAGTATAGGCAGGGGAAACCCAGGCAGAGCCCTGCAGGTTCCCTGAGTTGAGGAGATAGAACTGAGACTCTGGGAAGACAAAGACAGCTAGAATTTACAGGAGATAGTACTGGAGAGGAGGGAGCTGCACAAAGAGAGAGTTCTGGGAGACAGAGATCTGCGAAGGGTTCCCCTGAGTCTTCAGCTGAGTTCTGACCAGCACAGTTGTGTATGACAGAACCACTTGAAAAGACCAAAGGTAACCATGACTGCTACTCACATAGGTCCAGGATAGTGCCTGTTCTCACCAGCCAGACTGAAAAACTTCACGATATCAAAAGCACAAGCAAATCTGGACTTCCTCAAAATTTAACTTTAATGTATGAAAGGACATTATTAAGAAAGTGAAAAGAAAACCTACAGAATAAGTGAAAGCATTTGCAAATCGTGTATCAGATAAGGATGTAATATACAGAATATATAAAGAAGTCCTACAACTCAACTTCAAAAAGACAAACAACTCAGTAAAAAGATGGCCAGGACTTGAATAGACAAGTCCCCAAGCAAGACATACAAATGACCAATAAGCACATAAAAAGATGCTCAGTATCACTAGTCATTAGGGAAATGCAAATCAAGACAACAATGAGATACTACTGCACACCTATTAGGATGGTTATAATCAACACACACACACACACACACACACACACACACACACACACACAGAGAGAGAGAGAGAGAGAGAGAGAGAATGTTCTTCAAAACCAATGAGAATGAAGACACAACATACCAGAATCTTTGGGACACATTTAAAGCAGTGTCTAGAGGGAAATTTATATCAATAAATGCCCACGTGAGAAGAGAGGAAAGATTGAAAATCAACACCCTATAATCAAAATTAAAAGAACTAGAGGAGTAAGACCAAACAAATTCAAAAGCTAGCAGAAGACAAGAAATAACTAAGATCAGAGTAGAACTGAAGGAGACAGAGACACAAAAAACCCTTCAAAAATCAATAAATCAAGGAGCTGGTGTTTTGAAAAGATCAACAAAATAGATAGACCGATAAAAATAGCCAGACTAATAAAAAAGGAAAGAGAGAAGAATCAAATAGATGCAATAAAAAATGATAAAAGGGGATATCACCACCGATTCCACAGAAATACAAACTACCATCAGAGATTACTACAAACAACTGTATGCATATAAACCAGTAAATTTAGAAGAAATGGATACATTCCTGGGCACGTACACCCTCCCAAGACTAAACCAGGAAGAAGTTGAATCTCTGAATAGACTAATAACAAGGTCTGAAGTTGAGGCAGCAATTAATAGCCTACCAACCACAAGAAGTCCAGGTCTAGATGGTTCATAGCTGAATTCTACCAGACGTACAAAGAGGAGCTGGTACCATTCCTTCAGAAACTATTCCAAACAATACAAAAAGAGGGAATACTCCCTAATTCATTTTATGAGACCAATATCATCCTGACACCAAAACCTGGTAGAGACACAACTAAAAAAGAAAATTTCAGGCCAATATCCATGATGAACATCAATGCAAAAATCTGCAATAAAATATTGGCAAACCAAATGCAACAGCACATCAAAAAGATTATCCATCACAATCAAGTAAGCTTCATCCCAGGGATGCAAGGCTGGTTCAACATACACAAATCTATAAACGTAATCCATCACATAAACAGAACCAAAGACAAAAACCACATGACTATCTCAATAGATGCAGAGAAGGCCTTCGATAAAATTCAACAGCCCTTTATGCTAAAAACTCTCAATAAACTAGGTACTGATGGAACATATCTCAAAATAATAAAAGCCATCTATGACAAACCCATGGCCAATATCATACTGAATGGGCAAAAACTGGAAGCATTCCCTTTGAAAACTGGCTCTAGACAAGGGTGCCCTCTCTCACCAATCCTATTCAACATAGTATTGGAAGTTCTAGCCAGAGCAATCAGGCAAGAAAAAGAAATAAAGCATATTCAATTAGGAAAAGAAGAAGTCAAATTGTCTCTATTTGCAGATGACATGATTGTATATTTAGAAGACCCCATCATTTCAGCCCAAAATCTCCTTAAGATGATAAGCAACTTCAGCAAAGTCTCAGGATACAAAATCAATGTGCAAAAATCACAAACATTCCTATACACCAAGAACAGAAAAACAGAGAGCCAAATCATGAGTGAACTCCCATTCACAATTGCTACAAAGAGAATAAATACCTAGGAATACAACTAACAAAGGACCTGAAAGACCTCTTCAAGGAGAACTACAAACCACTGCTCAAGGAAGAGGACACAGATGGAAAACATTCCATGCTCATGATTAGGAAGAATCAATATTGTGAAAATGGCCATACTGCCCAAAGTAATTTATAGATTCAATGTTATCCCCATCAAGCTACCATTGACCTTCTTCACAGAACTGGAAAAAAACCACCTTACACTTCATATGGAACCAAAAAAGAGCCTGCATAGCCAAGACAATCCTAAGCAAAAAGAACAAAGCTGGAGGCATCACATTATCTGACTTCAAAGTATACTATAAGGCTACAGTAATCAAAACAGCATGGCACTGGTACCAAAACAGAGATATAGACCAATGGAACAGAACAGAGGCCTCGGAAGTAATGCCACACACCTGCAACCAGCTGATCTTTGACAAACCTGACAAAAACAGGCAATGAAAGGATTGCCTGCTTAATAAATGGTGTTAGGAAAACTGGCTAACCATGTGCAGAAAGCTGAAATTGGACCCATTCCTTACACCTTATACAAAAATTAACTCCAGATGGATTAAAAATTTAAACACAAGACCTACTATCATAAAAACCCTAGAAGAAAACTTAGGCAATACCATTCAGGACATAGGCATAGGCAAGGACTTCATGACTAAAACACCAAAAGCAATGGAAACAAAAGCCAAAATAGACAAATGGGGTCTAATTAAACTTAGGAGCTTCTGCACAGCAAAAGAAACAATCATTAGAGTGAACTGGCAACCAATAGAATGGGAAAAAATTTTTGCAAGCTACCCATCTGACAAAGGGCTAATATCCAGAATCTACAAAGAACTAAAACAAATGTACAAGAAAAAAACAAACCCCATCAAAAAGTGGGTGAAGGATATGAACAGGCACTTTTCAAAAGAAGACATTTATAAGGCCAACAAACATACGAAAAAATGTTCATCATCACTGGTCATTAGAGAAATGCAAATCAAAACCACATTGAGATACCATCTCATGCCAATTAGAATAACGATCATTAAAAAATCTGGAGACAACAGATGCCGGAGAGGATGTGGAGAAATAGGTACACTTTTACACTGTTGATAAGAGTGTAAATTAGTTCAACCATTGTGGAAGACAGTGTGGTGATTCCTCAAGTATCTAGAAACAGAAATATCATTTGACCCAGCAATCCCATTACTGGGTATATACACCAAAAGGATTATAAATCGTTCTATTATAAAGACACATGCACATGTATGTTCATTGTGGCACTGTTTACAATAGCAAATACTTGGAACCAACCCAAATGCCCACCAATGATAGACTGGATAAAAAAATGTGGCACATATATACCATGAAATACTATGCAGCCATAAAAAATGATGAGTTCATGTCCTTTGCAGGGACATGTATGAATCTGGAAACCGTCATTCTCAGCAAACTGACACAAGAACAGAAAACCAAACACCGCATGTTCTCACTCTTAAGTGAGTGTTGAACAATGAGCACACATGGACATAGGGAGAGGAACATCACACAATGGGGTCTGTTGTGGGGTGGGGGGGCTAGGGGAGCGATAGCAAGGGGTGGGAGGTTTGGGAGGGATAACTTTAGGAGAAATACCTAATGTAGGTAACAGGGGGATGGAGGCAGCAAACCACCATGGCATGTGTATACCTATATAACAATCCTGCAAGATCTGCACATTTACCCCAGAACTTAAAGTACAATAAA